GGGAGAATCAGAGCTTTAGTTATTTAACAAATCATCAACTACTTGGTTACTGAGCATTGTTTTAGGGGCTGGGGAGACATCAATTTCAGATTGTCGCTGGTTCTAGGACTTCTGATTCAGGTGGTATGTATCTGTGACATATGATAAATGATTTCTCTTTACTTTGGGAAGGGAAAGCTTGTTTTGGTTGTCCTATAACTAGCCAAACTGTCTTCCTTGGGCAGCTGGGGTAGAGGAACACTAGGGCAGTGACACTTGATGTCACATCTTTTTGTGTTTTTGTTTTTGTCTTTAAGTGTTTTTAGTTTATGTACAATAAGTTAGCATTAAGGTAGGTCTCTTGCATGACCCATTCAAGGAAGTTCACGTAATCCAGCTTACTGAAGCCTGTGTCCTTTGCATACTGATGGAAACACTGGCGGCACATAGTGAGGCTGTATTTGTGAATCAGACCATGCCGGTTTGAGCAGACCTCAAACTCTGGCCTGATTTCCTCAGCTGGCTCCCATGAAGCTGCTGATGACCCATCTTGTTCTCTTGGATTTGAGGCCGAGATGTCAGATCATTTTATTAATCTTTAAAACAGCATTCCTGCATTGAGATAACTGAGGAAGGATGGGGACAGCTTGCTGAGCTTTAGAAGTTAGTATTAACCTTTTGGGGCTTGTTTGGGATCATTAGCTTAACATTTCTTTAGAGCACGTGATAATGGAGGTTTCTCACAATGTTTCTCAGTGTGTGCTGAGATATAAGCAGGAATTGGACTTTGGTAAGTAGAGTCCTCAAGTCAAGGAGGAAGAAATAATTGAGAGGAATCCTGAGTATTAACTGATGGGCTTTAGGGGTTATAATCAAGTGGCTCCCAGGAATTATGTCAGATGCTTAAGTTTTGTTTCATTTTTTAGTGTTTATTTATAGAGAGAGAGTAATTGAGCAGGGGGAGGGGCAGAGAGAGAGGGGAGAGAAAATCCCAAGCAGGCTCCTTGCTGTCACTGTTGAGCCCGACTTGGGCTCACAAACCGTGAGCCAAAATCAGGAGTCAGACACTTAACTGACTGAGCCTACCCAGGCACTTCTTAAGTTGTTTCTTTAGAGTAGGTTTTATTGCCATTGCTTTTTTCAGCTTTATATGTTGAATAACTTCAAACTTGAAAGTGTTGAAGGAATAGTATAATGAACGCTCATACCTTCTACCTGGGTTCACCAGTTATTAGCATTTTGCTATATCTGCTTTCTCTTTTGTTACACTGTGTTGAAAATGTTACAGACCTCATGAATGAGTTTACAACCAATTATTTATGAGATAAGTGCCCCCAAATGATACTCTTCTATAGAACTACCAGTTGTCATGATCACATGAAAGAACTTCAGCTAGTAGAATACCTAATATAGTATCTGTTTCATATTTCTCCATTTGTCTGAATGGTCCTGTATTGTTTTTAGCCTGGTCCAAAAAAGATTGCTCATTGCATGTATTTGTCATGTATCTTTACTCTCCTGTGATCCATAACGGTTTCTCTAGCCTCTCTTTGTTTTCTTCCTGTGGCATGGATATTTTTGAAGCATCCAGACCAGTAGTATATAGTGTCCTACGGTTTGGATTTGTTTCTTTTTTCATGAGTGGATTCAGGTTAAACATTTAAACATTTCTGGCAAGAACAACACATAGGTGTTATGTATTTTAATGACCTGTTAAGAGTAAGATGATTCAGAGTCCATATTCTTTGGACCCCAAATTCCCAAGGACCAAGGGAAAAGATCATCAAAGTGGTACATGATGAAGAAAGGTTATTCAGTGAAATCAACCTCTGCCAATCCATGCCAATTTTAATACTATTGTACCTCACTTTGGGACACATACTTTAGGATGACACATTAGGATGACATTTTTATTTGAATTTCATGGGGCTTGTCTCTTGGTAGTTTTCCAGTAATAAAATTCAGCCTGCTTTGAGTTGCATGGCATATGTGGCATATGTAACTCATAGTGGCCCTCAATAATTAAGAAGCTGGCCTTGGCCACATAAGATGAAAGAATTCCTCATTTCGGGGGCAGGAGGGATGGTTCTGATTTTTATTGTACATGGAGGAGTCTGGTCTATGGTTGGATCTAAAAGTTAATAATTGAGGAGCTATTGGAAAAGCAAAGACTGAAGGGTAATGACAGCTGTTGGAGCAGTTTCAGGATAAAGTTAAATTGATTTTCTTGGCCTTAAGTAACTGGAGTTAGAGAACCAGGTGGTTTCGTTTTAAAATTGGAGGGTACTGCACACTGCTTATTCCAAGAGGTTTATATTTAGGGGGGTTCCCACAAAGAGCAGGAAAAACTTACCAGAAGAAGGGATTGACACAAAGTCAGGATTTCCAACTTGAGAGTCTGAGGAAGAACCTCTTGTACAGTCCGTGCACTGTTCTATACGGTTTCCTAAGGAACAAAACGGGCTTTGGTTTCCCACCTTGGGAGTTTCACTGCTAGTTCTTTTGGTCATGATACAGAGGACGTGACTGAAACTGTGTGTTAAGGAGAGAAGTACTTGGAAAATCCTTTTTTCCAGAGGTGCTAGTTCTTTGTCCCTTTAGCCAGGCAGTGTCAAGACGCAAGTCTGGTAAAGAAATTGGACTGGTTACTTAAATTCTTCTCTTCCTTCTTTCCCACTTTGGCAGATGCTGAGAGTTGGAAAAGCAAAAGCAGATGTGTGGCCCAAAACTGCTCCAAAGAAAGGTGAGAATGGCCCTCTGGTGGAGGGGGAATGTGGCTCCTTTCAGAAAGTAAATTAGCACTGGTATTTTACAGATGAAAACAGCTTAGTTCCTCCTGCTCCTGTGGACAGCGATGGGGAGAGTGATAACTCAGACCGTGTTCCTGTGCCCAGTTTCCAGAATTCCTTCAGCCAAGCTATTGAAGCAGCCTTCATGAAACTGGACACACCAGCTACTTCAGATCCCCTCTCTGGTAAAGGCCAAGAAAAGCGAGTGCTCAGTACATAGTTGTCATTTCCACCTGGATCCTGTGGCGGGCATCACTAATTAGGCACTTTTCTCTGAGCCTGTAGGCTCACATGCTAATATCAGCCAATAGTCCATATAGTATGCCAGATAGGATGTTTTTGCTACTCCAAATTAATTATTGAGGCCCAGATGTGAAACTCTGAGGAACTCTTATTTTTTCCTTTCTAAGATGTAGCAGAGAGTATTGTAGAATCCTGAGTTTGGTAGAGGGTGGCTAATAGATGAAGTCAGGCTTGGAGCCTACGCCATTCTGTAGTATTTAGTTAGACAAGATGACTAGCACTTATGGTGTGCCTTCTCCGTGCCTACCTAGCATTGTGCTCATTTTATTCTCCCAGCAACCATATTAAATGGGTAGAACTATGTTACAGATGAGGAAACGGGTCTAGGGTATAAGGTGACTTGCCCAGATACCTGGAGTGTGCAAGGACTGGTATCTCAATCCAGGGGGTCTTCATTCTAGAACCTTAGCTGCCACTCTGGGACTCTCAGGAATGAAACTGGCTGGGGCAAGGGGATGGCATTCTAAGCTAAGTTCTTTCTGTGTTTCCATTTAGAAGAGAAAGGAGGCAAGAAAAGAAAAAAACAGAAACAAAAGCTCCTGTTCAGCACCTCAGTCGTCCACACCAAGTGACACTACTGGCCCCGGCTACCTTCTCCATCTGGTTTTCTTTTTTCTGTGCTTTTGTTTTGCTGCTGTAATTTTTAAGTATTTGAGTTTGAACAGATTAGCTCTGGGGGGGGAGGGGGTTTCCACAGTGTGAGGGGGAACCAAGAAAATTTTAAATACAGTGTATTTTCCAGCTTCCCGTCTTTACACCAAAATAAAGTATTGACACTCACAAGAGATCTCTCTTCCTGCCAGTATTTTTAGTTTGTTACCAGGTTAGTCTTTTTGACCCATGTAACTAGTTTCTCTCAACCCAAATAAATTGTGGAGTCCCTTCAGCATCCCTTGGAGCAGCCCACACCCCTAGCGCTGTTCTGCCGACATGTCAGGGCATCGTGGCTTCTGCACACCTATCAGTGTGTGTTTTAGAACAAGTCAGATCTTTCCTGTTTAGTTCTCATGTTAAATAAACAGGAGGATGGGAATAAAATGGATTTAGGACACCTAGCCTGAATTGCAGTTTTTCTTCTGAGAAGTAGTTAGCTGTGGTGCCAGACCTGGGTTGCTTACATATGTGATGGAGGGTTTTAGCCACCTCTTGAATGTGGCTGCTTTTGGGCAAGGAAAGCTGTAATGGTTATGGTTACTAAAGAAGCCCTGGAATCTGCCAACTTTTAGGTCAAGCCTGTTTGCAGTGACAGTGGCCTGAATTGTAGGAGCTAGGGCAGGTTTGAAAGCGGTGGGGCACCCACTGTGTCCCTGTCATCTGAAATAGTCTGTGCCTTGGTTTCAGCTGAATTTGAGTGATGTGAATTATTTTGCTGCTTAATAAAGTGACCCTCTAGGTATAATAGAATGTGAAGGCAAATAGTTGCAATAAATCACCTGCACAAGCAATGAGAACTTTCTGGTTTTTTAAAGTTCATTACAGGTTAGGTAGACACACCTCTTAAATAGGTTAAGACTTTATGTTTATTTTGAGTGTGGGGGAGGGGCCGAGAGAAAAGGAGAGAGAGAATCCCAAGCAGGCCCTGCACTGTCAGCATAGTTCCTGACAGTGGGGCCCGAACTCATGAACCCTGAGAACATGACCTGAGCTGAAGAAATCGAGTCAGATGGACGTTTGACCAACCGAGCCACCCAGGCATACCCCCTTAATTAGGTTCAAGTAACACCTACCAGGAGCTTGAGCACTTTTATCAGGGAGCAGTGTCTCTTCCTAGTGTCAGGCCTAAAGGGTTCTTGAGTTGGGCTTAGTTTTAACCCATCATTCTTAAAAGAGGTTCAGAAATCCGGGAATAGGAACTCCCCTGGGTGGATGAGGATGTTTCAGCCTTGAAAGTGAGGGGACATGTTGAAGCAAAAATTACAAATCCTTCTGTTAAATCTGTAAGAGACTCTGAAGAACATGTTTTATTCAAGAAAACAGATCCTAGAAATGTCATTAGTAGATAGTAGATCAAAACCTCCCTGCTTCTGTGAGTGTGGCAGGGTCCCTGGTCATCAGGTGCCTGGCAGGTGTAGACAGCAGGGGAAGGGTGAACTGCAGGAAACCACTGGAAGCTGGCAGCTGCTGCTTGTCAGGCAAGGCTAGGTTTTGTTGCCCCTCAAGAGAAGTAGGAAAACTACATTGTCCTGTTGCCTGATTATAATTGGGAAGGAATCTGGTGTGTTTAAGGCCCTGTGGGTCAGGACTGAGACCAGCTATACATCTGTACCAGTTCATTTGCTGTGTCTCAATACTCAACATGACCTGGATTACTTAGGATTCATCCTAGGGATTGGGGCACAAGGCCTCAAGTGGGAAGCTATGCATCTGCTATCCTGTAGGGAAGCCAGCCTTCCCAATGAGCTTGGGGGGGGGAAGTGGGGGCGGGGAAGGAGAGTTGGCCAAACTTGAACTTAAGTATGCTAAATGCTACAGAAGCCAAGGACATTTAACAGACCTACTTTCGGCCAGGCAATGAGATACAGAGATGTCTGTAACCACAGGGGCTTCACCACCTGCAGAATCACTTAACCAGACCCTCTAGGTGAAAGTGACGTTCAGTTTAAGTGAACAAGTCCTCCATTTTAAGCTGATAACTTGGCCTCTGGTCAGCAATCATCCAGTTTGGGAAACTAGAAGATGCTGCTGCCTCCCAGAATGTCCTGTTCCAACAAGAGGGCCCTGAATCTTGGTCACAGCATAGCCTCCAGAAGTTCACTCCATTGCTTCAGAAGGCTCCTCACCACCACTATCTGAAAGCTGCTCCTCATCTGACCTCTCCTCTAGTAGACAGCTTCTTGTGACAGATTTCTGGATAGCTTCCCGTTCTCCTGGAAAGGCAGAGAGCAGGGATGAAAGAGGTCTTTGGGAGTGACCTCTAACTCAGCAGGTTAGTTACTGCTCAGTGGGCACTGGGCTAACATCCCTTACCTTCATCAGTGCAGTTCTGCAATAACATCAACAGCTGTCTCCTGTTGTAATGAATCAGGAACTTCTGACACGTTCGAATTGTACCTGGCAAGTGAAAGAGCTTTGTGGTCCACAGCTCGTGAAAGGTGTCTGCTTCAAGGTTTTCCAAGCTGGTGAAAGGGTCTTGTTCTTAGCAGGACAGCAGGAAGACCCACCGGCTGTCAAGACTGAACCCTGAACCTGTTACTATTAAACGCCAGCAACCATACCATATGCACTCCTACCTCCCACGTGTAAAGTGTTGAGAAAACACGGGTAACGGTGTCCTTTGTTCTCCAAGTATGTAATGAAAGGAAGAGCTGAGCACACAAGTTGGTAGAATTCCTTCCGGCATCGAAGTAGCACTATTCCAGTATAGGCATTGAGGTATCGCACTACAGAGGAAAAAAATCATTTTGGGAAACGCTGGATTCACTTAAAAATCTTCAGAGTGACTGAAAGTCTCCTAGGTGCCAGGCAGTGGCACTTGGGATGTATTATCAGCGGGTAAAAACAAATTCCTAAAGGAAAAAAAGCTTTAGAACAGACCTTCATTTATGTAAAGGGGATAAACCACATCCAGTGCTTTGCACACCACTCAGAACTGGTGAATGAATTCGGAATTGTAAATGCTCTTCTAAATCACTGATAAGTGAGGTTGGGGCTAGCAGAGATCCATCTTCCTCAGAAGAAACCCTTGACTGAAAGGTCATTCTATTGCAACTGGGCTCTGTAGGCTCTTGAAGCAGCCAACTGCGAGTTACCTGATGTAGGTGAATTGTGCCTATGTGCAAGTGATTCTCCAGTATTCAATTCTGAGCACAGGGTAAAGGAGGGAAGGAATTTAAAAAACGTGGTGCTGTGGGAAGAATCCTCTTCCTCATTTACATACACACAGTTGTGGGCTCTGTACTCTACCTGTACTAGTAAGGGCTTTTTAGAGGTAATTATGACCATCCCCCCCCCCCAAGGGATGTCAATATAACCCCAAATAACTTACTCGGAACTACACATCTTCCCCCATTTAATTCATTATCCTGCTAATTCAATCGCAACCCCCAGTATACTATGTCAAATACGTAAAGGAGATTCTTGCCCCAAGTCCCACTGCCTTGTTTTTAGCTTTTTTTCTTTAAAAAATTTTTTTTCTTTGATGTGTGTTTATTTTTGAGATGGGAGCGGGGGGCGGGGGGGAGGCAGAGAGAGGGAGGCACAGACTCTTAGGCAGGCTCCAAGCTGTCAGCACAGAGCCCTACCTGGGGCTGGAATTCAGGAAATGCGAGATCATGACCTGAGTTGAAGTCGGACACTTAACACTTAACCAACTTAACCACCCAGGCGCCCCTGCTTTTAGCTTTCTGCCTAACTTCGACTCGTTCAGACTTTGGGCTCAGGCTCCGAGTGGCCTCAAGAGGACGATATCCTGCATTAGAACCTAAGATTGTGTATCGGGCTTGGAAGCTCCTGCGGTCACTCTTACCCCTTCCTTCTCCCTTTTCCGACCCCGCTCCCTCCCAATCTCGCTGTCCACCTAGTTCCCCAGCACCCTCGCACCCGCGAAGCCGATGGAAGTGGAGGCTGCGCCGAAAGTCCCGTGCACGCGAGCGATTGTGTCTCGTACAAGGCCGCTCAGCACTCGGTCCTCCAGACTCAGGCGGCAGCGGGGATCATCAGACACCACTTCGCAGAGCAGGTACCTGCGGAGGCAGAAGGGAAGTGAGCGCGGAGCCGGGGCCGCGAACCTAACGCCGCAGTGTTCATCCGGCCTCCGCCGCTTACCTGTGCTTGAATCGCACCATGGCGGTCTCCGGTCCCCGCGGCCCTGCGCCCAAGCCGGATGTCGGTTTCGCTGGCGGCCAATGGGAAACTAGTCTCACTAGTCTTGCAGCCACTCAGAGAGGGAAGCAGGGTAAAAGGGCGGGGCTACAGTGTTGGGAGGCCGAGCCCAGTGTCAGTCTCCTTTAACCCCCACCTCCCTCAAACGCTCGTGAGGCGCATGCGCCATGCTGACTGCCTCGTTGAGTGAGGTGTTCCGGGATTGAGGTCCGCAGTCCCGTGGTGTATGTTTGCGGTGGGTGGTTCTCTTCCCCGCCGGAGTTTGCAAATCTGTGTAGGATGGAGCTGCTGCATTTGGGACCGTCGCGATGTTTACTATAACCTTGCAATACAATTGTGTATGCACTTCTATCGACTCCCTAAACTAGACGGTGGAACGTAAGGGGGTAAGACCTTTCATTTCCACGCCTGGGATTGACACGGGAAATCGGACCCTTAGTTTCAGGTTAGAGCTCTGTTTAATTTTTTTTCGTACAGCCAAATATGTTTTTTTCCTACAGTCAAATATGTTATTACTGTTTGGGTCTTACAACAATGTTATGGAGACGGGGGTATTGTCTTGACTTTTGTTTGCAAAAACAACCCTTGGTCATTAAATTTTACTTTTTTTATGTTGATTTTTTAGAGAGCGCGAGTGGGGGAGGGGCAGAGAGAGAGAGGGAGACACAGAATCCAAACCAGGCTCCAGGCTCTGAGCTGCCAGCACCGAGCCCCACGTGGGGCTTGAACCCTGGAACCGTGAGACCATAACCTGAGTGGAGGTGGAACACTTAAGGGACTGAGCCACTCAAGCGCCCCAAATTTTACTTTTTTTTAAAACAGAAGAGTACAAAAAAGCAAATAAAAATAAATTATAATCCCAGTACCGAGAGAGAATAATTTATCCTGTAGTGTATTTTCTTCCTTCTCTTTCCCCCTGTGCTAGCAATTCTCAAAGCGTAATCCAGGGACCACTGGGTTTTCCGAGACCCTTTTAGGAGCCCCCAAGGTCAAATTACTTTCATAATAATACTAAGATGTTATTTGCCTTTTTCACTGTCTCAGAGTGGACAGTAAGTTTTCCAGAGATTACTTGACATGTGCTGACATCATTCTGATGGCTAATGGGGTTTTGTATTGTTTTAAACATTTCTCAGTTTTATTTTGTTAATATGTACTGGAAATCTTCACCTTTCTCAGTTTTAATATCCATGGTTAGTATCAATATATCCTACAAAAGCAAAAACTGTTTGGGATCCTCAATAAATTTAAGAATGTAAAGGGGTCCTGACAAAAAAAACTTAGAACTTCTGCAGCCTGGGTGGCTCAGTCAGTTAAGCATCTGACTCTTGATTTCGACTCAAGTCACGGTCTCACGGTTGTGAGATTGAGTCCCAAGTTGGGCTCTGCGCTGACAGCACAGAACCCGCTTGGGATTCTCTCTCTCCCCGCCCCTCCCCAGCTTGTGCTCTCTCCCTTTTCTCTCAAAATAAATAAATAAACATTTAAAAATCTGTGCAGAAAAATAATAGGATCAAACTGTTTACCACTTTTTATGGCTTATCTTTTTTTTTTTACAAATATATTGAGTTATACCATGTATAAAGTACATACTAAGTGTAAAGGTCAATGAACTTTTACATATGTATAGACTGACTTTCCTAACTACCACCCCGATTGAAAAGGAACATTTCCATACCTAAGACGTTTTCTTGCTATCTAAAACCTTCCCAGAAGTAGCCTCTGACTTCTGTCATAAGATTAGCTTTGCCTGGTCTGAACTTTCTATAAATATCCAACAGTACGTGTGTGGGGCTCCTTTTGCTCAACCTAATGTTTTTTTTTTTTTAATGTTTTTTATTTATTTCTAGGAGAGAGAGAGAGACAGCGTGAACAGGGGAGGGTCAGAGAGAGAGGGAGTCACAGACTGGAACAGGCTCCAGGCTCCGAGCTGGCAGTCAGCACAGAGCCCGACGCGGGGCTCGAACCCACGAACCGCGAGATCATGACCTAAGCGAAAGTCGGATGCTTAACCGACTAAGCCACCCAGGCGCCCCTCAACCTAATGTTTTTAAGTTTCCGTCTGTTTGACTATATTTTCATGTCAACCAATTTGCAGTGTTATTTTTCAGCTGTGCAGTATTGCATTGTTTGGATGTAACACTGCTAAAATGATAACTATTCCCATAACAGACGTTCAGATTGGTTCCACATTTTTTGCTAGACCCAGTACTCGGGTGCACAGCTTTGTAACTTGGTCTTCATACTCATCCGTTTGTAGACTTGTGTAACTAGCTGGCCCTGTGAAGTCTATGAAGGGAGGCCATTTATTCGCAAAATATGGAATGAATCCTCGGTTTTCCCCATCTCTCAACTCCTCACCTTAAAGGAGGCATTCTGAGAAAGGAAGGGGCTGAGGGGAGGCGGGAGGGCAGTGGCTCTGCTGGGGGACATGTGTCTACTGCAACCTTTCCTCTTCCAAAACAACCGGTTTATCCCAAAACGGTCTCGCCAGCGTCCCCCTCTGGCCAGCAGGGGGCGTCAGAGGCCCGTTGTGCGCCAAGTAGAAAAAGCCTCAGAGCACCCCCCCACCCTTCGCCTCGCGTCTCTAAAATAATTCCCCCAACACTTCCTAGCTTTCAATTCTCTTAATCCCAACACTACGCCCATTTTATTGATGCAGCTGGGGCTCAGACCAAAGTCACATCCAGTAAAGAGCTGGATTAGAATTCGATCCCAAGGCCATCCGACTTGAGTCCTTGCCCGCGTCCAACCATCCGGTGCACGGTTTTGCCTGTCCCCTCTCCATTTTCCAGCCACGTGCTGCCGGGGAGGTTAATTCACGTCCCCAGACCTCAGTTTCCTCATCTGTGCCACAAGATGACGATGGTTCCTCGGTCTAGAGTGGATACGAGATAAATGGGATAACGCGGGCAAAACGCCTGGCATGGGTGTGCACGGTACGCGCAGTTTTGAGTGAACGATCTACTCCTCCGCCCGGGCGTCGCCCCTGGAGCCGGCACACTGGGGTGGTCCTGGGCCTCCCCTCCTCGGGACCAGGTCCGGCTCCCCCGTCGGGCCCATAGGGGTCTAGACACGGGCGGTGGCCCGGGGGCGGGCGGCGGGGGCGGTGCAGCCGGCTCCCCGCGGTAATTAGCCGGTGCCGGCTCCGGCTCCGCCAACCGCTAATTACATGTCTCCTAATGAGGCCGGCGGCTGTTTGCAATCACCCGGGTCCCCGCCGCGCGGCGCGGGAGGCCGCGGGGGAATCCGCCGGTGGAGGCGCGGAGGGCGGCGGGGGCGCGCGGCGCCCATGTGCCCCGGGGGTGCGGGGTGCGGAAGGCCAGCCCGGCAGGGGCGGGGCGCTCACCCGCCGTCTCACCTCGAATCCCTCCCACAGAGCCAGTATTCTCCCCACTTTCCAGGTGAGGAAGGGCGCTGAGGCTCGAACTCCCGGGCACAAAGCTCAGGCCCGAGTAGGCTGATCGTGATGGGACCCCGAACTTGTGCGCTTACCTGATTCAGGTTCTTCCTAGAGCAGTGGGGGGTGCTTGCTGTTCTTTCTCCTGGGACTTCTCTGAAGAGTAGGTTCTGAATCAGACAAATGAGGGGAAGGTGGGGGTGCTTGGGAAACTTCCTCCAAGTTTTTCTTCTCATTTGAGAGTTCCCACCGTCATTTTGCCCTTTTGGATCAGATACAAGATGGAATATTAGCTTTGGCAAGAACACTAAAACTTACTTGGAAACATAAGTCACAAGTCCCATTTCACAGACTGGAGCATCTGGAACATTCCCTAGGACGTGGGTGAGGCAACTGCTGAAACGCTCTCTTTACACAGGGGATGAGAAGCTACCACTGTGCGCCATGTCCCAGGGGCTTATGGGGTGGGGTCCAGAGTAGCTGCTTTTATTCTGCATCTGGATCACCTGGGCTTGCATGTCTTAGGCTCTCACTGTGTGTGTGTGGTGCTGTGTAAGCACTTTGGGTTTGACTTCATTTAGTCCTCAGGACAAGCCTGTCAGGGTAGGCCACATTCTTCTCTGAGGTCAGGGAGCAAATGACTTGCCCAAGGTCACGCAGTAATTTCCGCAGACCTTTGTCTTACCCCCGCACCTGTGCTCTTAACCCCTTGTTCTCTACCTCTTCTCCGATTGTCTGCGACCCAGAAGGATGTTCAGAGAAGGTGAACCCAATCTTCTTTTTTTTTTTTAATGTTTTATTTATTTCTAGGAGAGAGAGAGAGAGAGACAGCGTGAGCAGGGGAGGGTCAGAGAGAGAGGGAGATACAGACTCCGAAATGGGCTCCAGGCTCTGAGCTGGCAGTCAGCACAGAGCCCGACGCGGGGCCCGAACCCACGAACCGCGAGATCATGACCTAAGCGAAAGTCGGACGCTTAACCGACTAAGCCACCCAGGCGCCCCGGTGAACCCAATCTTCTTAAGGGACTTTGGCATCCGGGGGTCCCTGTTGAGAACCTGGATGCTGCCGTGGTGGATGGGGCAAAGGAAAATTGTATCTGCTTGGACATTTTGTTAAGCAGCTGCTGCTCATTAGGGGATCCTGCTCCTCTAATCCAATCAACCAATTCCCCGTAAAACCTTTATGGGAACAATCTGGATAAAATTAAACCCTCCATCTGCCTGGCCAGGGGCCTAGGGAACTGCTGCATCCTTCAGACATGGCCCTCTCTGGACCGCAGAGACAGAACACGGCATCTCACTTCCTCCCTCGTCCTCACTGCCTTGTGGACCGTTTCCCCCTCTCCCCTGCCTGCTGCGAGGACTCACTTATCCAAGAATTAATTGAAATTACAAGAGTACCACTGTTTGACCCAGCAATTTCCCCGCCACACACTTCTCCCACAGAGATCTTTGCATTTGTGCCCAGTGACAGGTGAATGAGAATGTGTCTTGCGGCGGTGTTTGTGACAGCAAAAGCCTACCTCGGTGCCTGTCAGAAAGGATCCGCTCTCTGTGCATATGTATTGGACATGTGCCAGAGAAGGTTCTAAACACTCTACATAGATTGACTCATTTAACCCCCACAACTGCCCTTTAAATTAGGACCTTAATTTTATTAACTCATTTTCAGGTGAGGAAACTGAGGCCCAGGGAGAACACGTGGGCTTGCCCGTGCTTCACATAGGTAGTAAGCGGTGGTACCAGACAGTCCATGTTCTAGATCACTCTGCAGTAGAACTTGTGTCTTCCTGTGCATGGAATATTTCCAAAACGTGATACAAAAGCAACTGATGGTGGTGGCCTCTGGGGGGAGGAATTAAATGTGTGGAGAAGGAGGGGAACTCCCTTTTTACTGGGACCCTTTTGTATGAGACTGTGTTAACCATGTGCGTATGTTAGTTTCATAATTTAGAGGAGCTTCTGAGCCACAGGCCTTAAAGTGTGTTGTTACTAATCCTTACCTCAAACTTGGGAGTGGGTGATATGCCCCTCATTTTGCGGTTGAAGTCACCGCCTAGTCTGGCCAGGCTACATGACTAGGAATGACATGGGGTGGGGGGTGGGGAGTTGGCTCTCAATACAGTGCTTTTTCCCCTAATTTATATTTAGCCCCCTGGGCTTGCAAGGTTCAGAGGGAAGAAAAGGGGTTAAAAGGATGGACTCTGGGGCCAGCTTGCCTATGTTCAAGTCCTGACTCAGCCCCTCACCATCTGTGTGACCTTGGGCAAATCACTTGCCCTCTCTGAAGCTCAGAGATGTTTTCCTCTTTATGAGGATTAAGTGACTTCCCTCCATGTCGAGTACTTAGAACAGGGCCTGTCTCATCACGAGCGCTCAGGAAGTGCTATATTTTTGTATTATTTCCCCGAACATGGTCTTCCTCAATTTCAAGCTCCTGAGCAGTCCCTTCTCCCAGCTGGTATGTCCAGCTGTGGCTGCTCCAGTCCTCTCCGCAAAGGGCAAGGCCCAGCCACCCTGTGCTCCAGCCTCTAGCTGAAGTCCTTTGGGATCAGTTCTCCTGGGTTATCCCACTCTGGTGGCTGTGATCAGAAGTGATCACATCTCCAGAGCTGGAAAAAGGGGCAGAGCCGCAGGGCTGGTGTGGCCCAGATCCAGGGTGAGGCTGCGCCGGGCGGCCTCCTAGTTCGGGATGTTCCCAGCGCCTTCCCACCGCTTATGCTTGGAGGGAGAAGGGCCTCAAAATAGCTGTTGCTTCCCCAGCACGGCGCTAGGCCAGGGACAGGAATAGACATCTGGGGGTGGCCGCCTCAGCTTCCCTCAGGGGCCCTGGGGGGGGGGCAGGAATAAGCAGAGGCCAGGCTCCTCCCAATGTAGGGAGATTGTACAGCTGTCAGTATACAGTGGTCACCTGTGACAGTCCAGCCCATGGAAAATGTTGCCCCGGCCGGGGCTGGCTGGACAGTAGGTCACCAAGCACGGCCAGACCCTAGCCAGGGCCTGGATTCTTAGACCACTAGGAAGTGCCCTTCAACACTGGCTCCTACAGTTCTCTCTTGGCAGGTGGCGCAACTGAGGCCCAGCGAGAGAGTCATGTGCTTGAAATCACAAAGCTGGGTAGAAGTCCAAGCTGATAGGAGAAGCGGGCCTTGGGGCAGCGTGGAAGGGGGAGAGGACTCAGACTGTCTAGGTTCAGATCCACCCTCCACTACTTACGAACACCGCATGTTCTTGGGCCTCAATCTCCTCACCTGTAGAATATGCAGAATAGTGGTACCCGCCTCCTTTAGTGGGAGCGAGGATTGGATGAGTTAATGATCGTGTGCAGGTCATGCTCCTTATGCACTCATTCCTCAGGCATTGGCTGAACGCCAGCCACGTGCCAGGCACAGTGCCGGGCCTAGATCCTCTAGCTTCACAGCGTGGCAGGAACAGACCCATGGACAATTCAGGGAGCCTCCCTTTTGCCAGTTACTGTGCTAAGCATTGTAACCTATATCATCTCATTGATCTCTCCCCTTGAGGAGCCATGATCATGCTCTGTCTCACAGATGACGGGAGTGCGCTCAGAGAGGTGAAGTCACTTCTTCAGGGTCACACAGCTAGGAGGTAGCAGAGCCAGGATTTGAAACCCGAGCTGCCGGCCTGTGTAAGTCGTGACAAGTAACCACGGCACATCATCGTCTCTTTACTGGGGAGACAGGCAAGTGGTTCAGTTGGCGAAGTCGGGAGCTGGGCATGTGGGGGAGGGCTCTGCTCTCCCAGCCTTGACATTGACCACCCCCACCCCAACACAGTCCCATATGAGCTGTGAGGTGGTCCCCAGCCCACACCACCTAATTCCCACGGGCTTCTCTGGAGACCTACTATGTGCCAGACCTGTGCTAGGCTCTGGGAACACAAAGACGACATCGTTCCTGGCCTGAAACTGCTCACGGTGTGGTGAGAGACAGGTTGCTAAGATGTCAAGAGCAATTCAGAGGCAGCTACCGTGACGAGGGCAAGAAAGGGGACAAAGTACTAGAGGAGGTACCTAACTCAGTCTCAGAGGTCAGGGAAGGCTTCCTGGAGGTGGTGATGTCTGAGCTGAGGCCCAAAGGAGAAACAGAGCCAGGAGAGAAGGTGGCAGGGAAGAGGATTGTAGACAGAGCGACAGCTTGTGGTGGTGCTGAGTCGTAGGAAGTGTGAGTAGTAGGGGCTGGAGGGATGGGTGAGGGGTGCCGGAGCTGCAGAGATGGATGCAGTCAGGTCATTCAGGGCCGAGCTGCCCACACTTAAGGGCTTGGCTGCTATCTGGAAGGCTGAGAGAATGTGATCGGGGGCTAGAAGTTTCTCTCTGGCTTTGGAGGAGGGGGCTGAACTGAAGGTGGGGAGATGGCAAGGAGGCGGCTGCCTGGGGGGAGGAGAGAGACTTGGCCTAGGGGTGCTGAGGAAGGGGTGGAGAGCGACGGGTGGCTCTGTGAAGCTTGCAGAAGTAGAATTGGTTATGTGTGGCTGTGTGATAAATCACCCCAAAACTCTGTGGCTTAAAACAACAACTTTTTAAATGATTCTGCGGGAGTCACAGGGCACTTCTGTGTTGTGTGGTGTCGGCTGGGGCCACTGGGATGCCCCGAGGGCTCCACAGCGGCCTCACCCACATGGCCTCACCCACATGGCCGGCGCCGGCTGGGAGTCCAGCTATGGCTGCTGGCCGAGGGGCCGCAGTTCACCTCCGTGTGGCCTCTCCATGGGGCTCAGGCTCCTCACAGAGGAGCAGGTGGCTTCCAAGGCGACACTGCCATGGTTTTTAAGGCCTGGGCTCAAAAGTCTCAGAACATTACTTCTGCTTCATCCTAATGGTGAAAGCCTCCCAAGAGGTCTGATTCAAGGGTAGGGGAAACGGCACTCCATCCTCTCCTCCTCCCCCTCCCTCTCCTCCTCCTGCACGGTTTAGTGGCATTTAATGCATTCACAGTGTTTTGCAACCAACATCTCTCTTTACTTTCAACTTAAAAAAAAAAAAAGTTTGCATAGTTTTGAGAGAGAGCGCATGCATGAGAATGAGTGGGGGCAGGGCAGGGAGAGAGAGAGGGAGAGAGGAAGACAGGATCGCAAGCAGGCTCCCCACTGTCAGCACAAAGCTGGATGCAGGGCTTGAACTCATGAACTGTGAGCCTAAGTCAAGAGTCTGATGCTTAACCAACTGAGCCACCCAGACGGTCCTCCTTAATTTCAACTCTTTTTTTTTTTTTTTTTAATTTCTGAGAGAGAGACACTGCG